CTCCCCCCCGCCCACCGCCCCACTTCATTAACCACTGAATATGGGTTGTCCCTTAGTAAGGATATGACTTGGGGAAAGGCAGCTCTTTTTTAAGGACAACAATTTTTAGAGGGATTCAGCTGTTAACATTCATAGAAGCCTTAATATAAAGGTAGGGTCTGGACTGCACACCACAGCATGTACTACATACAGTTTCTTAGCTTCAACCTCAATAACACAACTGGGTTGAGCCAGATAATATCCATATCACTTGTCTATTGCCACAGTAAGGCTGTGTAATAGAGACCCACATATCTCAGTGGTATACAACATTACATATTCATTTAACCACATCTCTGTAGGGCTCAGCTGCTCTGGGCTGGGCTGGGCTTGGTTAGGCTTGCTCGTGTATTTGCAGTCAGGTTGGCCAAGTAGTCTGCTGATCTTGGCTGAGCTTGCACACAGGCTAGGTATCAACTGACTGTTGGCTGATCTGGGTAACTTGCCTTGACTTATCCTCCAGAAGTCTAGTGTGAACATGTAGTCATGGCAGTGGCAGAGGCAAGAGCAATTCCAAATGTGTGGTCCCATTTCTAGCCTCTGTTTGTGTTAATTGTACTAACATTGGCTAACATTGGCCAAAGCTAGTCATGTAGATGAGCTCAGAATCAAAAGGCTGGTCAGCTCAACCCATTCATCATTAAGAGAGCTGCAGTTACTGGACACAGTGTAGATGGTACAGGGAGGGGTGGAGAATTGGGATAATTCTTAAAATCTGCTACTATCTCCAACGTCCTTCTATCTCAGCCATTCAATAGTTTTTGTGATTCTTTTTCTTTGGTAGGTGCTAATAGTCTAATTTTGTTTCTAATCAGGAACTTGAACTGTGTCCAAGCATACTTATCTCTGAATTCAATACCCAGCACAGAATCAGCAGGACACTGGAGACAAAGATTTCGTTTAATAAACAAAAGCAAACATAAACGTATCTTGGGAATTAAAAGTAGTAAATTCTAGGTTCAAGATAAAATGTGATTTGCAAAGTCTTAGAATCAGAACATTAATTATCAAGGACACTTTAAAAATCAATTTTTCAATGTTCTCCTCCTCCTCCTCCTTCTCCATCTTCGCATTAATAATTATTACTAACTAAAAGTAAAATATACTGTTAAAACTTAAATAATATAGACATACATAGGGTAAACAATGAAAGTTTCCACCTCACCTCTGCCCACTCTCCAGAGGCAACTGTAGGAGCAGAAAAATAATTTTCCTTTTACCCTTCTAAGTTCTGGCTAGCCTGATAATCAAATTAACAAGAGACTGATTAACAAGAGAAAATGACCAAATTTATTACTGAATTTATTACATACAGGGTTCTATAAGAATCTGGGACCAGGGACAAATTGAATAGTTAAGGTTTATATGCCATCTTGAGCTAAAGAGAAAAGGCGGGGGCGGGAGTGTGTGGTTTGAGATTTCAAAGTACAGGAAGTCAACTCACATGGAGATGTCAAACGTGTGGTAAACAAATATTTGTTGGGCCATCTTTACCAATGGCACAGAGAGAGGACTTTGATCAAACAGGTCTTTCTAGGTTCCTCCTTATCTATTATACCTCGTTCATATTAAACTGTAGTTATCGATGATGATAGCTCTCTTTCTGGAGCAGGTTCTCTATCTAAATTCTTTTAGGCAGTAAGGGGGAAGACCAAGGTCTTTCATGAACCTAATTTCTTAAAAATAGCCAATTTAAAATAATATCCCCCAAAAAGGCATGTTTTGGGGTGGCAAATTCTGTTTTCCCTTACAACTGTCATTAATAGCCATATGTCGTCTGGACCTTTTCCTATGCATATTCACATGTGGATATATTTTTTCTTTTTGCTTTGTTTCCTTTTAATGAAGAATAAAGTCATACTATGCATTTTATTCTACAACTAAGGTTTTTTTACTCTTTGATATATACTAGACAAAAACCAGCAACATGTATCTAGTAATTCTTTTAAATAATTTATATTTTATTAATGACAGAAAAAAATGTGCATTTAAAAACTAGTTTACATGTATAAGGCATATAATTTTTCATTTTGTAGGCAGTACTTGGTGCCTATATCGGCTTTCAGTTCCCATGCCTTCAGATGACCTTTGTGAGGAACTGTTACGACTTGAGGAAGGAAAATAGATTGTTTCTCTCTCATTTAGATCTACTCAAGAGAAATTGAGTTCCTTGTTTATATACTTTCAATGAACCTAACCAAATAAACCAAAGCAATAGTTAAATTACAATTGTCTTTATTTTTAAAATCAATACAAGAGTAATGATACTCAAGCTAAATAACCTCTGTGTCAGCAAAATTATCGTCATTTCTACTGCAGTGCTATTTGTTGGGTAGCAATGTTGATAATAACTGATAATTTCTCTTCACTCATATATATCTGTTAACCACATGTTTGCTAACTTTAATTTTTTTTTACATTTAAAAAAATACAGAGGATTACTTTGCAGATAAAAATTTTAGATTTGATGGAAACACTGTGACCCATGCGAGAAAGAGGAAGTAAATAAACCTGTCCTATTATTTCTAAAATGCTTTCCAGACAAAGGAGTTGCCATGTTCATACTTCCCATTAATGCAGTGGCACCTTCAGGAACCATTCTGAATTATAATAATTTATTTTTAGGGCCTGATGTTTGGAAAAATAAATAATAGTTAAAATTTCCTTAAATTCAGTGACATTTTGCTTGAAATTGAATTCACTTACAAAATTTGGATTATAAATAGCTTGACTTTCTTTGAAGCCAAAAGGAACCTGTGACAAGCTTTGAAGATAGACTTTTTATTTTTCTCTATGGCAATGATATGGTTTCCTGAGTCCCAAAGTGATTCTATAACAAAAGGGAGGAACAGACATAAATTTTAGACTTAACCAAATGAATAACTAAAACTAAAATTAATTTTAACATGAAATAAAACTTAAAAGTATCTTGTCTAGTTCTCTAATGAGAGCTAAGGTTATGACTCGTTCCTGGGTGAGGTGACAGTCTTCTTGCAGGGATGACTCAGCAGTCCTCACTCTTGCTTTGCTGCTTCTGATTCACTACAACCTGGGCCAGCAGAGGTGGTCATCTTTAGAAGAGTGACTTTCAAAATGAATTTATTTATTGGTTTCTATATGTATGTATCCACTTTGTAAATTTTTGTTCAAACACACACAAAAAATGTTAGTCAAATATGTGCAACTATTGAAAGCTGTTCTAGTTAGCTCAGGATGGAGGCCCAGAGCCTCCGCCCATTTGCTTCCCACTGGTTTCTGTCTTGTCACAGCCATATTTATTCACATTTCATTTGCCTTAAGATAATGAGAAACCCATGAGAGTGGTGGATGATGAGGACCTGGTAGACCAGCAGCTCATCAGCGAGCTGAGGAAAGAGTATGGAATGACCTATGATGACTTCTTCATGGTGCTCACAGACGTGGACCTGAGAGTCAAGGTACAGGTTCTTGTTTTGGATGATATGGTGCCATTCTTTAGAATAGCAATGAGTCTATTAGATGTACAAATAAGCACACATTATTTCATAAATGGGAATGTTCTGGAATGGTTCAAATATTCCACATTGGCTTATGGAATTCATGTCCAGAAATGTGGTCTCTGGAAAAGATTGGGTTGGATGACTTCCTATGGCCCAGCTTCTTGACTCATACTAAATTCTTCTGTAATATCAATGGCTTGCATTCATCAGACATTTGTTGAATCACCTAGAGCTCATGCTAAAATTATAACCCTTGGATCCAGACCAATTGGATCAGAGTCACTAGTGGTGAAACCCAAGTATCTGCATTTTATTTTTTAAAAATTTATTATCAGGCCCTGGGGATAAAAGTTTAAGAGTATTTGGCCTCTGCCTTCAGGAAAACCAGCTTTAACATATGCCCACTTTGGAAGGGCCTGGAAGTTTACTTCCTGATCCAACATGGACAAGACAGTTCAGACAAAGGTTCTGAACTATGAAAAATAAATAATAATAACAAAAATAGCTAACTCTATTGAGTGCTTTCCTTATGCCAGGCACTCACCTCGACTCTATAATCTCTATCTCAAACCTCTAAGATAAATAACAAATAATATCTTCATTTCACAGAGGAACAAATAGAGGCCCAGAGTGGCTAAGTCGTTTGACTAAGTTCATCTAGTTAGCATTGGACTTCATGTCAAACAGGCTGGCCCCAGAGACCATTGTCTTAACCATTACAGTATACTGAGAGTATACCATGCTTGCGTGAAAATCATTAGGTAAAAGGCTTCCTGGGCTATCAGAATAGCTGATCCAACTTGCAGTGTTTTTTTGAATCTGGAGAAAGATCCCTTCAGTAATTCATTTTGCATGTGTGCTGCCACACTTCTAATGTAAGAGTTTGGACTAGATGATCCCTAAGGTTACTGTCAGCTTTTACATCCTATGGTTTACTAAATTCCCACTGGGGCCATATCTCTAAGCTATGTCCAGACTTCTCTCTAGCTTATGCTGGTTATGCTCAGCCAGACCCCCAAATCATCTCAGGTTGCTGTTCTAAGTCCAGACAGGTATGGTCCAGGAAATCTTATTTCATTAGGCTTAGGTTGGATCTCAACTCTTTTCTAAGAATATATAAGGAGACATGACTTTATTTTAGGTGATGCTGACTCAATAAAATAATCTCTGGGAATCATGAAGAGTTTATGTAGATTCTTGATGACTATAGCACAGGCCTCCTTTTGGTGGAAAATTATCCTTAGGTCAGATACTCTGACATGTTATTCTATTCCTGTGTTAGATATAGCATTTCTCACTTTCTCTCCAGTTATGTAGTGAACAGAAACCAGCTTAGTTTCAGAGATAGGGGAGTGAACCTAGGATATGGTGGAGAGGAAGGCATGGACCCCTTTCACCCCTTTCAATAAAAGGAGTGCAGTTAAGAAGAAATCTTCATAAAAGTTAAGAGGCATTTGTTTCATGGATTCTGAACCTCAAAACATCAGCAGAGGTACTATTACTGGAGAAAGTTTATAAATCACTGAGCCCTCCAGGCTCTGGTTTCCCCAGAGCTCCCTGAATTCTCCCAAGCTCTCTATCCTATGAGCAGAATGAAGAAACACCTTTATTCATTATATACTTTCTACTTTTTCTTAAACAGCAATACTATGAGGTGCCTATAGCGATAAAGTCCGTGTTCGATTTGATCGATACTTTCCAGTCCCGAATCAAAGACATGGAAAAGCAAAAGAAGGAGGGCATTGTTTGCAAGGAAGACAAGAAACAGTCATTGGAGAACTTCCTATCCAGGTACATCACCTTTGGAGTCTCTGAGGAGGCAGGAGGGAATGTATTCTGGGTGAGTTGTTGAAAACACCAAGGAAACATGGAGAGGATGTGTGCAGAGAGTGACTTTCCCGCGTGAAAGGTCTGTCTATTTCATAGGTCTCTGGCCACTGGGCCTTAGTCTTGTCCTGTCGAAAGTGGCTTTTGTCACAAGCTGGCTGGAGTCAACTTCAAGCTTGAGTGTTGATTTGGTGGCTCTGGATAAATCTTTCATCCCTTTTCTGCTCCCTTTTTTGGCACAGAATATAGAATTCTGACCTATGAGGGTTAATTTAATTGAATTCGGAGGGCTTTGTATACAGCATTTATTAAGCCCCTTCTAGTTCCGAACAGTATTTGTTCGGAACACTGTGCTTGATTGTCTGTTTTCTTCCAACTCTACAGAGAACAACAAAAGCCCCACCAGGACCTCAAACAGAAAAATCCTTTGACCTAGCTTCCTGGTTCCCTGGGGAGTATGGTTTATTGTAAACCATTGTAGAGAAACCTTGGTACACACACAGAGAAAAGAATTAAAAAAAAAAAAAAAAATCATTCCACTTCCTCCCTTCTCCTTCTCTACCTCCATGTTGGATGAAATTCTGTAGGGCCTTTGGGGCCCTAAGAGGTATAAAACTGCAATAATTCCACCTACAACAAATAAACTCATAGAGACCTCCATGTAACACTATCCAGACTGTCCTGTGTGGCCAAGGGTTTCCTGAAATGGAGCAAGCCTTTGCTTGGAGGCTCGGTGTTAACTGTGTACCACTCTAGGCAGAACTTCCTTATTTGTGTCTGTAAAGCACATTCTCCAAAAACAAGTCAGAGAATCAATAATTCTATGATGAGTAGGTGGGTAACCTGAATCCATCTAGATTCAGGAGCTTGGGTCTCTTAGGAAATAACCTCATGATGTATAAAGAGCATAGGACTTATTATTTATCCAAGTTTTGGGTCTGCAATTTACTAGCTATGTTGACCCTACACTTCTTAATTAATGTGCCTTAAAAAATCTCTTCCCCACAAATGAGAATAAAGACAGTAAGTAGCCCTACCTCCATCCCAGGGTTTCTGTGATCACTTTTTGTATGCTCACCTCTGTTCTGAGTATTTCATTTTCTTTCCTGGGTTTAATTTTTACAACAATCCCATGACCTAAATGCTGCAACTGTTGTATTACAGATGAGGCTAATGGAGATTAACTTTTTCTCATCACTGAGCTAGTGTCAGCTCTAGGACTCAGTGGCTCCAGGATAATCTGGCTTGCAAAGTCTACATTCTTATCTAACACTCCTTTTGAAAATATAATGAGAATTATTTTTAGTCTTGGACCCACAGGCCCAGAGTTTGAAACAAAGGAAGATAATCCTAAAACCACAGGATTTCAGAGCTGAAAGGAATCTGAGGTTCTTCCTTCATCCAAATTTTCAGTGCAGTGCAAGTATACAGAATGGAGATAGAGGGTGCATGCCTCCATAAGGACTTAAAGCTCAGTCAGTCTTCACACCACTCTCTTGGCTGAGAAAGGGGTTTAGAAACCCACTGGGCAGATGGCTTCTTGTCTGTCTGGGGCTACTGAAGCATCAACGTTTGATCCTTAGAGGTCATTCCTCTAGATGGCAATGACTTAGAAGATTAATGATAAGAGCCTGTTTTAGCCTTTGAGGTGTTGTTTTTTATTTCCTTCCCTTTTCGATCATTTATATTGTAAGCTCCATTTCAGAATAGGTAATGCTACAAAATAGAGGAGAAAAAAGAAACTCAAGTAAAATGAGGATTTCCCTTTGTCTCACATATATTTTCACCTAAACTTAACTCTTCCCTATTTCAATAAAGTCTCTTCCTTCCTTCCTTCCTTCCTTTCTTCCTTTCTTCCTTCTTTCCTTCCTTCCTTCCTTTCTTCCTAGCAGAAAAGATTCTTTAAAAGTTTACTTTTGATCTTAGTTCTCTCTTAAACTTTGACGTTAGACTTTTAAATCTTATTATTCTATTTATAACCTAGCAAATTTTAGCTATCATTTTTAAGGGGCTTTGAATAATGTTTGATCTTGCTTACATTTAAATATATATTATATTTTACATTTAATATATTTCTTTCCACTGCTTGAAATAAACAAAGAATTTTTGAGTACTTAAATGATCCATAAGTTTAATAAGTTAATCTTTTAAATACAGTGAATCTAAAGTCTGTCATATGTTCCAAAAACTGTATACACTCAGTAAGATTTCAACCTAAAGCCATACATTTACTCAATTACACATTCTAATTTAAGGTTTCAAGGTTGTCATTTATTAAGCCAAATTCTCTTAAGTGCAACAAGAATGTAAACTATAAAAAGAAAGACAGGATCTTTCTTAGAAATATAAATTATTACTATGATTTTAATTATTTGAAAACTTTCTCTTCTTAATTCTAAATCTTCTAGGACTAAAGGATGCATAACTACTAAACCATCCCAATAAACTCAGGTTGTCCATCCCCCTAAAACAGACAGTTACCACCCAGTTTAGTGATGTTATTTATAACCAAGGATTTGGGCCAGCTTTGACAGCCTCAGCCACAGACATCATGAGGGATTCTTCTTACCATCCCCAAGTAGAGTCTTTTTATAATCACTCTGTAATAGGTTTTAAATCTGAAAGAGAAAGCTGACATTATCTCATTTTTTTTTTTACTCACAAAGCTTGTAACGTTTATGCATATTGATCACTGATTTAAATTTGTCATATCTTTGATTCTTGAGACTTGTACACACATTTTCCATCTAAAGTCTTTTGAACTGGATAAGGCCCTAGAATATGTAACTATATTTTCCTTTTGATGTAAGAGCCTTATGAACTCTTACATTCATTGCTATTTCAGGAACATACATCTCATGGATATTCAAAATGGTATATAATTATAATTTGGATGCCCTATACCCATACATGACTTGTGGTCCCAACTCATGAAAGCACTGTGCTGATAATTATCATCGATCTTAAAAATTAAAGTTCAGTAGTATATAACTTAAAAGCATGAGTAAGACAGCCCTGAGTTTAATTCCTGGTTTCTCCAACTTATTAGCAATGTGATCTTGGGCTGATTACTTAATCTTTCTAGGCTTTAGTTTTCTCATTTGCAAAATGGAGATAATAAGTGTATCTATTCTATAGATTGTTATAAAAGGTAGATTAAATACTAAAGGTAATGATGGCCTAGAACCCAGCACAAAGTTAGTAATCAATAGATGCTGGCTATTAGCAGTATTAGGGACAATTATTCAGCTGCTAGTTAGTGAACTTTGTCATCAAGGGAGAGGTAAGAGAAAGAAATTTAGTGAACACGATAGGATCGAAACGCAGGCTAAGATAATTGAAAATAAAATTTTTAAAATAAAAGTTATATAAATAAACCAGTATCCAAACAGGAATTTTCCTTCAAATTTGCTGAGTTGTTGGTGGGTCTATACAGCCTGGTTTTAGCTGACCAGACTTTGAAGCCAGTCTGATCTATAGTGACACTCATCTGGTTCAGGCTATAATTACCTTTCTCTGACACAGAAGCCCCAAAGAGTGGGCAAGTGCACACTAATTTTGGAATGCCAGTTAAGAGAAGCAAACACACGCATAACTCATACAATTTTCGTTTACCAAGTAGCAAAAGAAAAACAAGTTGTCCAAAATAAGGATCTGGGTCACATTGACATCTCTTGTTACATCTTGTGGAAGTTATTTCCTTCAGTGTCATAAGCTAGGGGTTTTTATCTTGATGTGAAGATCTGTGGGAGAAAAAACGTCATTCCTTAGGGAAAATGACCTTCACTTGGTTGTGTCTGCGACAGGGAGTCTCAGATCCCATCCCTCTCCAATCAGGATGGCATTCAGTGGTGCACACAGGTAAACAAGCCAAAATATACCTCACCCAAAATAGCTGCCTTCAGGACACCCTACAGCTCTGTGTGAGGCCAGGAAGGCTGGC